ACCTTTTCCATGTGTCTCAAGATGTCAAATGACATGTCCACTCTTTCTCTTTCTACCTTATACGGGATTCTGCTTAACCATGAGCAATCTCATCAATTGAAAAGAAATCTTGTAAAAGATTCCAGGGAAATGAAAAGCTCTCCTTTAGCTTTGATCTTTGAAGCTTTTTCAGTTGAAACTTCTACTCCTTTTGTTTCTTCTCTACCTCCCGTGGTCATCACGAAAATAGATTCTTCTGAGGACATTCCCGAGTATGATTTAACAGATTTTGATGAGTCCCTGGCACTCCTGACTAAGTCATTTAGGAGGTTCGCCAATAAAAGCAATTTCCGCAGATCTCCTCAGCTATCCATAAGGGAGAAGCCAAAGACTGAAAGAATAGACAAGGCTTCAGCTATCTGCTACAACTGTCAGCGGCCCGGACATTTTGCAGGTGAATGCAGATCGAAGAAGACTGCGATGCCATCTTCTAAAGTTTCTTCCTCCTTCAGGACCAAAGATGATAAATGCTTAAAATTGAAGGAGAAATACAAGAAGATGAAGAACAACCAGCGAAAGGCAAAAGGCCTTACTGCTGAAGAGCATGACTGGACTGAATCATCTGATGAATCATCCTCAGACGAAGAAGATAAATCTTATGTCTGCTTGATGGTCATTGATGTTGACGAAGGTTCTTTTAAAGCATCTACCTCTTATGAGCCATCTTCTGTTACTCAGGTATGTATCCTGAATGAACCCTCTTCTTCTTCTAGTCTTTCTGCACTAGATACGCTGACGGTTGACCTTTACAATGCCCTCAATGGCAAATCAAAAGCTGAAATGCTTAACGTTCATCTTCATGAGCAATTAAAGATTTGTCATTCTAAGATCAAAGAACTGACCTCTGTTGAGGAAAATCTTAAAGATCGGGTTATTGTAAACCAAGCCATCACTGTTGAACGTGAGAAAGCTGTTGTTGAGCGTAAGCGAGCAATCGTTGAACTCAAGGCTGAGAAAGCTACCATTGAAGGGTGGTGTAAAGCTTCCCTCAAGGCCTCTGAGATCATTAAAGCTCAGTTCCCGACCAAGAAAACGACTGGTCTAGGATTCCCCTATGATCAGGAAGAATGTGTTAAAGACAGGTCCATGCTTAAATTTGGTACCTTTGTCTCTTCTATTCCTAACACTTCTTCCTCTCARTCCTCTTCYTTTACTGAGAGTCATCTTGAAGGAACTCCTTTGAGTTCTGGGTGCAAAGACAAGGGTAAATCCACTGTCACAACATCCCTTTCTAAGAAGCCTAACAAGTCTAATAGATCTAAATCTATTCCTTCAACTTGTAAAACTTCTTTTTCTTCTTCAAGGACTAGGAAATCTGAATCACATTAGAAATCTAAGTTACAGCTCAGGGTGAACTTTTCACCTAAGGAATCCATTCCCTYAAAGGTTYCTCCAAGAACCAATGAGAAGGGAATCCTTGGAGCTGGTCCCACTTCTAGTCTGATACTTCCTGGCCCTAAAGCTACTCCTAGTTTTAGGAAGTGTAAACACTGTGGTGAAAGAACACATGTTGCCAGTAAGTGTCCTTCTACCGCCAAAGCTGGTTCACCAGTTTTGAGCAAGAAAGTAACCAAAGTTGAGAAAGCAACTAAAGTGAAATCATCCACAAAGACTGCCCCTGCAGTCAAGGTGAAGAAAACCATTGATGTCTCTTCTTTAGGCTCAGTGAAGACAACTGCTGCTGAAGTATCTTCAGCATCAGACGTTGTAATCTCCACCACTGAAGTCTCTTCGTCAGACTCAGTGAAGACTTCCGCTGAAACTACCTTGGTAGTATCAAAGGTCGTTCCTCTTTCCATTTAAACCTCTTTAGGTTTAATGATGTCATCTTCTAATAATGATTCTTTAGTATCAGATGATGAAGCCTCTAACAAAGCTGGACCCAATTAGCTGGGTACCAATAGCATTTCTTATTTTGTTTCCTTGTTCAGGATGTCAAAGGCATATGGTAT